CTTGTCAATGGGGAATACCTTTACCTTTACCTTTATGACTGCCCCACCTGGAATTATCTGCAATTCTTTCCTCTGGTACAAGGAGTTAATATGTGATCTTTTTGCTTCAAATCCAGCAGTCCCTGACATATTTATAAAGCCTGGAAATACAGGGGAAAACATCTATGAGTTGGGTATCAAAACTTTTTAGTTGACCTGTCTGATCTTCAAGATTTGCTTCAGAGACACATCTCTCTGAACTGTCACCTCAAGCTGCTAGGTGCACAAAAATAAAAAAAAAAAAACATATTTCTAATTTTTAATTGGATTGCTACTTAGAATTACAGAACTGAATCTTAGAGTCTTAGGGCTAGGAAGACACTTGAAGGGCCAGCTAGACCAAACCCATGCCATGCTAGAATACACACCTTTGCTGTGGTACTGCAGCAAAGAAGAAAAATGCTATGTAAACCTGCATTAGTAGAAGCATAGTCTCCAATTTGAGGGAAGCAATAGTCCTCCTATATTCTGCATTGGTCAGACCTCATCTGGAGTACTTGCTCAGTTCTGGGTGTCTCATTTTAAGAAAATAGACAAGTTGGAGCAAGTCCAGAGAAAGGCAATGCGGATGATAAGAGATCTGGAGAACAAAGCATATGAGGAAAGGAGATGGACATTTTCAGCTTGGTGAAGAGAAGATTGCAGGATGGCATGATTGTTCTCTTTTAAAAAACTGAAGGGTGCCACAAAAAGGAGGATATAGGCTTGCTCTCTACTGCCCTCTGAACTAGATCTAGATCTAATGGTCTGAAGTTACAAGAAGACAGATTTCAATTGACCATTGGGGGGAAAACCATCTTGATAGTAAGAGTGGTTTGGCAATGGAGAGGTGATGGGGTCTTCAAAAAGAGGCTGGACAGCTTCCTGCTGGTGATGCTGTAGCTGGAGACCTTGCATTGAACAAATAGGACTTGATGGCCCATAGGGCCTATTCCAACTCCATGAACTAAAGCACATCCAACCTCTGTTTAAAAACCTCCAAAGAAGAAGAGTCCACCATCGTCTGAGGCAGTCCCTTCCTCTGTTGAGCAGTTATTACAGTATAGAAGTTCATGATGTTTGGGCGTCATATTTTTTCTTGAAATTTGAATCCATCAGTTCTTGTTGTCACCTCTGAAGCAGCAAAAGACCAAGTCACTCCATACATGACACCCCTTCAGACATCTAAACAGTCTACTTGTAAACTGTTCTATTTAAAATAGTATTTTGTACTGATACAAGCTTTTAAAACTATATTTTGTCTTTTTGAGTAAATCTTTGTGCAGAAGTGATCTCCTCCTTTATCT